GTAAACATGTTTTACAGTGGTAAATATTAAAATAAAATCTTCCAATGAAACGAACACCGCCACCTCTGTCATGGTTTAAACCATTTATTTCTATGTGGCGGTGCTGTCCATCCAGTAGGCTAGTGCTGAATTTCAGCCTAAACTGAGCTCCTTTACTCATAGATTTTCCTTTGTACTTCCAAATTTTCGCCATTTGTTTGCCATGCATCCTTAATAAAAATAGCCTTTATTCCAATGCATTCGATTTATCTGTTGATTTATCATTGTTTGCTTTTGTCGGTCAGCTGTGTAGAGCGCCCATTGCTTTGTTTTTCAGGTGCGAACGGGTACTGGTGTTCTCCGTGCCAGCCATGGCCAGAAGTAGTAGACCATTTATTTAGCTTTATTCTATTCTATTCATATTTGTTTTCTTCACTGGATCACCTGATGATGGTCGGCAATATCCCTAGACAACTAGCCTACAGCCAGACACCAATGCGCATCCAATCCATCCAACAAGTATACTTTAATGACAGTAGGCCTAGTTGACTCTTTCGGTTTGAATCATTAGATTTTGCAATGGCATAGTCCTACATTATTTTGGATTTGTGGGCACATGATAACTGTTTTCATGGTGAAACATAATGAAATGTTACGTAGGCATAGTTACACTTACAGTGCATTTTCCGAAATCTCCAAGATCCATGATTTGTACAGGGTTTAAGTTCAATGTTCTATTTCAATTGTTAGCCTAAATGCTTAATAATGACAAATAACATTGTCATAAATGTCATTAATGTAAGGAAAGAAATGTAGTGTTTTATGTCACACGATCTGTGAAGACGCCAAGCATTAACTCATGAATTATGGACAACTCATGAACTAGGGTGTAAAACATGTTTTAATTCAATTAATGTATTATATTGAATGTAGGCTACCTATGTTGTGTATGTTCGTGTGATTCAAATTGTGTTGGCTGAGAGGGTAGGTTACCGGCAGGGGTGTAGGCCTAGTGGAGGGTAAACGCAAGTAAATGCCGTTTACCCACCTTTTTCAGAAAAATGCAATGAAAGCATAGGGAGCATTACTTTTTTCACCAGGACTGGCAATCAGAGTTTACCCACCTATTTTTCTTTTAACACTACATCATTGGCTACCGTTAGGCCTATTTGAAGTTCATGCTAATACACATTGTAGCCTAGTCTAGTAAGTAACTATGTGTGTTCGGGTGACCATCCCGTTTTTCCTGGGACAGTTTCAGCCCCCTTTCAGGTGTCCTGACTTTTCAGGCTAGGGATGGATCGAAATTTACAGAATGGTTACCTGAAGGACAATGGGGGAGGGTCATGCTTTTACAATTTCAGTCAAGGGGAGGGTTTATATATATATTTTTAAATGTAGTCCAGGGGAGGGTTATGCAATTTGTAATTGATAAAATGTCTATATTTCTCAGTGTTTTAGAATTAGTAGCTTGTGTGACCGATGCCACCCCTCATCTCTGATTCTCTGCTGGGCGTGCAATATCAACTGCGCCTATAGGCTATTTAGTGTGGTCTAAATCAAATTATACATAGCCTATAAGCTATAGGCTACAAAGTGCATGCTCGGAGAAGCACATAGCAAAGTTATATTTCTAAGATAGCTGTTGGGATGGTGTAAATAAAACTAGGCTGCATTACACGCTGCAATGGATATTCCAACCCTGAGCCCCAGCCTGCTCTGCTCCTTCAGATCAAACACTTTTTTGTGTGCTGCTTAACCAGTGGCTGTGCTGTGTAGAACCAGTGGCTGTGCTGTGTAGAACCAATGGCTGTGCTGTGTAGGGCTATGGTGGCAGTTCAGGAGGAGAGTCAAAGGTTTCTTCCTAAAATATTTTTTGATTAGGCCTAGTCCAAAAAAATTCACTATCTTGCGCATGGACTAGCCTATGTTCTGTTCTGTTTGAGAACTTTAATAGCTTTAATTGATTTTATTAAAAACAATTTTTGTTGCCCGTGATTTATCAGAGTTATTGACCTCACAATAAACCAGATTAGAGTAATTTATATTGTGGCGCTGAAACTTCAAGCAGCAGCCACGGCACAATCAATTGGAAATGTACAGCTCATGGTGCTGAAAGTAGGTATAATTCATTTCAACCGTCTTCATTTTAATTAGATGTTACTAACAACAAGAGTTTTGTGTTGGAGCCCATTTCTTCCTATTTAAGAAATAAGAGGTAGGCCTACCTGTTTGGCAGACGAAATTAGGCTATAGGCTGCTATATAGTGTGAGTAAATTCCTCCACCCACCATGGACTCTTTAAATAGCCTTCCTCTGTGTCAGTGAAGGGCTGTTAAATTAAAACCAAGACTCGAATTGAGAGGGTATGCCATAGGCCTACCTTTTATTAAAGAAAATTGCAAAAAGCACTGGCCTACCCGTTATTAGCTTAAGAGTTTGAAGAAAATAAAACAGATCCGATTATATAAAGTGATCTACAGTGAGGGAAAAAAGTGTTTGATCCCCTGCTGATTTTGTACGTTTGCCCACTGACAAAGAAATGATCAGTCTATAATTTTTATGGTAGGTTTATTTGAACAGTGAGAGACAGAATAACAACAACAAAATCCAGAAAAACGCATGTCAAAAATGTTATAAATTGACTTAATAATAAGTATTTGACCCCCTCTCAATCAGAAAGATTTCTGGCTCCCAGGTGTCTTTTATACAGGTAATGAGCTGAGATTAGGAGCACACTCTTAAAGGGAGTGCTCCTAATCTCATCTTGTTACCTGTATAAAAGACACCTGTCCACAGAAGCAATCAATCAATCAGATTCCACTCCCCATGGCATCCAAAGCTCTCCAAGGGACAATGTAGCCTACACAACCATCGCCAAGCAGCTTGGTGAGAAGGTGACAACTGTTGGTGCGATTATTCGCAAATGGAAGAAACACAAAATAACTGTCAATCTCCCTCGGCCTGGGGCTCCATGCAAGATCTCACCTCGTGGAGTTGCAATGATCATGAGAATGGTGAGGAATCAGCCCAGAACTACACGGGAGGTTCTTGTCAATAATCTCAAGGCAGCTGGGACCATAGTCACCAAGAAAACAATTGGTAACACACTACGCCGTGAAGGACTGAAATCCTGCAGCGCCCGCAAGGTCCCCCTGCTCAAGAAAGCACATATACAGGGCCGTCTGAAGTTTGCCAATGAACATCTGAATGATTCAGAGGAGAACTGGGTGAAAGTGTTGTGGTCAGATGAGACCAAAATGGAGCTCTTTGGCATCAACTCAACTCGCCGTGTTTGGAGGAGGAGGAATGCTGCCTATGACCCCAAGAACACCATCCCCACCATCAAACATGGAGGTGGAAACATTATGCTTTGGGGGTGTTTTTCTGCTAAGGGGACAGGACAACTTCACCGCATCAAAGGGACGATGGACGGGGCCATGTACCGTCAAATCTTGGGTGAAACCTCCTTCCCTCAGCCAGGGCATTGAAAATGGGTCGTGGATGGGTATTCCAGCATCAGTCCTCTCAATGGCGCACATTTTCTTAAGAGCGAAACAACTCACAATTCTTTCCCCCATTTGTTTAACCCTGAGCCCCTTCTCCCTCTGCCCAACAGAAACACAAACAATTATCACTAGACCATTTCTGGTTACCCTCACCGATTCCACTATACCCAACGCTTTTTTCACCCATCTTGAAACCACAAATGGATCAGCCAAAAGGCAAGGATCCACTTTTTCCACAAACGTCACTCCTACTGTCCCAGCCTCTCCACAAACGTCACTCCTACTGTCCCAGCCTCTGGCTCCGAGCACTTCACCACACTTACCACCTCCGATACTTCACCCTCTTCCTTTTCTACTCCTGTCTTCAGCTCACTTTGCTTACATTTCCTACCACTCTTCTTTAAGAAACCTTCTCCCTTTTCGAATAACAACCACCTGATTGGTTTGGTAGGCTATTTATTTGGTAGAAAACAAAAAGGCTACTCTGCGCACGCGCTCCAGCGTGTGGGAAGTCGTCTATAATAATTTGGATGCTCGAAATTATTTTAACCAGCAGGTGCCACTGTGTTGATCAAAGCCTCGAGTAATGAACCTATTTTCGACACTATTGTCTAGAAAGCTTCAACGCTTCAGGAAGCTTTGTTTCCCCATCGCTACCGAATAATGCTGCGTTCAACGCAACTGGTAACTCGAAACTCATAAATCTCCGGCGTCCGACTTCAGTGAATTCATGATTTGACCTCGTATTTTTCCGAGGTCCAAGTTGTTTTGAACGCTGCATAATAACGGGTTATTGGTGTTCATGTAACCGTGGTCATTGACTCTTTGAAGGAGAGATTTCCTTGTTGGAGTTTACCTAGAATACATTGAGCGGCCTATTGACAATGTACACAGTGTGTTAACAGAGATACTTTTGAGGAGATGAGAAACTCCACTGTAATCAAAGTAACGACCGCGCGGTGCATTCTGGGCGATTATGGGACAAGAAGAGCTCTCCTGCAAGGAGTGAATGGGAGTCAATTGGGCGTTAGCTCAAAAACCCAACATTAGCATGAAATTCGTCAACAAGAAGTACAATATCAATAAAAAAATCGTGAGACGTGAGATAATGAACTTGTTCTCTGTAATTTCGTATAGCTTTGGAATCGTGACATTATGTACTTTCGAGGAAAATAGGCAGGTTTCTCGACTCATTCCCTGACTTTGATGAGTTTAGCAACCGCGTGACGCGCCATAACAACGTGAACGCGATTGGGCGACAGTCTGCTGGGTGAGGCGTTATACGTTCCTCCATTCATTGCACAATGGGATTTCCATCTCCTCCTTTCTCTAACATCGCTGGTATTAATGTGATTCGAAGGGAGTTTCCTATCTCCTTAAAATTATCTCCGCCCTCTCCCGCTCCTCCCCTTAGTTTGTTTTCGCGGAAGTAAAATCCATCAGTGATAGCTAGCCAACTATTGTATTTTCTTACTGAACATTTCTTTAGAAACATAACACTAGTCAGATAAAATGTTGTTCCAGGAAAATGTGACCAACTGTGTTAGTTTTCAGACCAAATTAACCTCCGTTATGGATGTGTTGGCCAAAGCTGCAGTGGCAGAAATAAGTAAATTGTTCGATGATGGGTTTGCTGTTTTACGCTTGGAAATGTGCCAAAGAGAAAATGAAATTGAAGCCTTGAAAAGAACATTGTTTATGGAGAACGAACGGCAAGCGACGAGTTCCAAACTGCGAGAAGCAGGCAGTTGTTCCACATGCTCTTCGTCTTCCAGAAGGACAGAACAGGGTGAGCCTGCGCGTGCTTGCTTGCTTACTGTACTAGCTAACTAGGTTTCGACTTATCTAAAATGTGTTGTTGTCCAGTGTCCATCTCAACTCAGGGGTCAATTCTTCAAGAAAATATCATACAGTATTAACAATATGACTGACAATCATTTAGCTCAATGGCTAGCTAGTGTACTTATTGCCTGGAAACCCGACATTGAATTCACGACGCCAGGACAGCGGAGTCACTCACCACCTTCCGGAGACACTTGAAACCCCACCTCTTTAAGGAATACCTGGGATAGGATAAAGTAATCCTCCTACCCCCCCCCCCCAAAAAAAAAAAACATATTGTAAAGTGGTTATCCCACTGGCTATAAGGTGAGTGCACCAATTTGCAAGTAGCTCTGGATAAGAGCGTCTGCTAAATGACGTAAATGTAAATTTAATTCTATGTCGGGCAGAAATGAGCGTTTGAGTCAGGTCAGTTTCCTCTCACGACCTCAACAAGCTAGAATGTTGAATAAAATTATATTTTAACCTACTTTATCGGTTGTCCGTGCAGTTGGTCCTTTTGGTGGTAGGAATGTGAGACAATATATCCACAGGAAAGTATGATTACATCAACTTTACAAAGAGCTGGTAGTGGGTTCAGATTTGTATAATCTGAAGCATGCACATAACCATGTAAGCACGAGCTCGGCAAGTATGCATGCATCTCATGCATGTATTTTTACCTTGTGCACATGCTTCAGGTGATAGAAATCCGAAAGCACTACCAGCGCTTTAGAAAAATTGATGTAATTATAATCCTACCGCCAAAAGGAGCAACTGCACGGACAAACATCAACAAGTAAGTTAAAATATCATTTTATTCAACATTCTGACTTGTAGAGGTCGTGAGAAGAAACTTTACTGATTCCAACACACATTTCTGCCCAACGTAGAATTAAATGCAATTCGAGGTCAGGTTTCCAGGCAAGTGTAGATAATGGGTTTCAATTCTATTGTTGACCTTTGTTAAATTGTTCAGTACACTCTTAACTTTGTTTTACAGTGCTTTTGACATATAGATTCTGACAGTTCAGTTAAACCTTCCCTTTCAGGGTCCAATGGGTCTGATGAGGATGCTGGTGAAAGAACTTCATTTGAGCAGACCGCCAGAGACAAAGTGATCACACCTAAAGACAAACAACCTGATCAAAATAGACCACAGCCACCTGCAGAATCAGTAGAGGGGCTCAGTGAACAGTACAGGTCTGGCCACAGAGAGGAGAAGGGTAGTGCACTAGAGTTAGTGGTGAAGACCGAGCAAGAGGAGGAGTATGATGTTATTTCACTACATACATCAGGAAGTGAACATGGCACAGAAAGATCAGATCATCAGGAAATTGAGTTTTCCGTGGATCGCCGAGAGAGTCAGCTGTGGGCGTCTGTATCAGAGAGCAACTTAGACTCTGAGGGTCCAGATTGCTCTTATGGTACAGAACAATATACACAGGATCTCAATACAGACATACAGCTTATTGAAAGTGCTGTGGAGGGTCTCGATAGCGATCCATCGTCAGATACAGGGTACATTAACAGACTAATGAAAGAAGAGATGCGAGCACAGTCTGTTTGGAATGCCCGAAGAAGGACCCCTATAGATTTGGTTCAGGCACAACCAGGACAGCAGGGAGAGCAAATCTATGCACCCAGAGAGAAGGGAGGATGGAACAACTACCAGAGTGCCGTCAGACAAACAAACGCGAACCAATGAGGGTGCAGCATATTCCAACGTTTGGCTAAACAATGTATTCTCGCTTGCCCCCAATGGTTTCAACTCAGCAAAGGTAGCCCCAAGGAGTACCCCAGCAAGAGAGAAGTGGTTTGTTTGCACCTATTGCGGAAAGAGCTTTGACCGGGTCAGTCACTTGGAGATGCATCAACGGATTCATACAGGAGAGAAACCGTACAGCTGTGTGACATGTGGGAGGTGTTTTGCTCAGCAGAGTAATCTCCGCACTCATCAACGAGTACACAGGGGCCTCAGAACAAAGAAAATAAAAAGTAATCACAATGACGAGACAACTAAGAACATTCTAGAGAAACCAGCTGGGGCCCGTCCCACACATTATGAAACACAACCTCATTAATATAAACTTTTTCTAATGACTGAGAACAGAGAGTTTATGAGAAGACAGTCAAGACACTCTTGCAAAAAGCCGCAGTGTGTTACTTTTGTCTTCCTATTCTGTAAAGTGAGAGCAGTGTGATCCTACCACAACTGTTACACTAGTTCTGCTAATATACTGTAGGGAGTTATCAAAGTTACAGGTTTACATCCTCCTGCTTGTAACCTTTTAAAAGGAACAGTTATAAAGAGTTGGCTCTCCATCGTCTTTTTAGTTTTTGTAGAACTATGCCAGAGACTAACATCTGGAGAGAAAAACTACAATGGACGTGCTTTTATCAATGCATACATTTTTATGAATAAACATGGGAATTCTCTCAACTTGGAGCCCTTTTTTTGTTGTTGAAACATGCTGAGTATACAAAACATTAAGAACACCTGCTCTTTCCATAATAATAATAATAATAATGTATTACATTTCTATAGCGCTTTTCATAGATTCTCAAAGCGCTTCAAGAGCAAAAAAACAAAGAAGCAATGTATCATGACAGGTCAACCAATAGAGGCCAAGTCTTTGAAAGCTGCATCCTCTGAAGATGGAGAGGGTCAGTTCATGGCTTGAGCAGAGAGAGCTGGTCAGAGGATGGTAGATGGAGTGTGTTGATTATCTTGTAGAGGGCGTGTCTGGGAACCAGCCTGACTCTTATAGCCACTGGGCTTCTTCTCTTCCACTCTGTGTAGCACCGACTTGGGTGATGCCTCAGCAGCTCTGGGCAACAGAAAGCTCACCACACCAAGTTCAGAACAGGAGCCAGTCGTCCTCACTACTAGCCCTCTGTCTCAGCACTGCTGTATTATTCCATCTCCCATTCCTCACACTTCAGGCGACTCCTCAAATGATGTTCTCAGAAGATCAGGAATTGGCAGCCAGGTGAAACAAAAAAGCTGGTAATGTGTCCAGATGCATTTTTCAAACAAAAATATTAACCAGCTAGCTAGTTAGCCAAGCCAAAAAGTGTTAACCTGTCAGTCAATCTGCAAATCCGTGGATCAAAAATACCAGATATATGCAATAAAACTCAATGTGATCAAAAAGATCTGATTAAAAATCAACAATTAAACAACTAATAAATAACTACACTGAACAAAAATATAAACGCAACATGTAAAGTGTTGGTCCCATGTTTCATGAGCTGAAATAAAAGATCCCAGAAATGTTCCATATGCACAAAAAGCTTATTTCTCTCACATTTTATGTTGAAATCTTTTTACATCCCTGTTCGTGAGCATTTCTCCTTTGCCAAGATAATCCATCCACCTGACAGGTGTGGCATATCAAGAAGGTGATTAAACAACCTAATCATTACACAGGTGCATGCTGGGGACAATAAAAGGCCACTCTAAAATGTGCAGTTTTGTCACACAACACAATGCCACAGATGTCTCCAGTTTTAAGGGACCGTGTAATTGGCATGCTGACTGCTGGAATGTCCACCAGAGCTGTTGTCAGATCATTTAATGTTAATTTCTCTACCATAACATCGTTTTAGAGAATCTGGCAGTATGTCCAACCGGCCTCACAACCGCAAACCACATGTAACCACGCCAGCCCAGGACCTACACATCCGGCTTCTTCACCTGCGGAATCGTCTGAGACCAGCCACCCGGACAGCTGATGAAACTGTGGGTTTGCACAACTGAATTTTGGCACAAACTGTCAGAAACCGTCTCAGGGAGGCTCATCTATGTGCTTGTTGTCCTCAACAGGGTCTTGACCTGACTGCAGTTTGGCGTCTTAACCGACTTCAGTAGGCAAATGCTCACCTTCGATGGCGACTGGCACGCTGGAGAAGTGTGCTCTTCATGGATGAATCCCGGTTTCAACTGTGCCGGGCAGATAGCAGACGCGTGCGTGTATGGTGTCTTGTGGGCGAGTGGTTTGCTGATGTCAACGTTGTGAACAGAGTGCCCCAGGGTTATGGTATGGGAAGGCATAAGCTACGGACAACAAACACAATTGCATTTTATCGATGGCCATTTGAATGCACAGAGATACCGTGACGAGATGCTGAGGTCCATTGTCGTGCAATTCATCTGCTGCCATCACCTCATGTTTCAGCATGATAATGCACTGCCCCATGTCGCAAGGATCTGTAAACAATTCCTGGAGGCTGAAAATGCCCCAGTTCTTCCATGGCCTGCATACTCACCAGACATGTCACCCATTGAGCATGTTTGGGATGCTCTGGATCGATGTATACGACAGCGTGTTCCAGTTCCCGCCAATATCCAGCAACTTCGCACAACCATTGAGGATTAGTGGGACAACATTCCACAATCAACAGCCTGATCAACTCTATGAAAAGAAGATGTGTCGCGCTGCATGAGGCAAATGGTGGTTACATCAGATATTGACTGGTTTTCTGATCCATGCTCTGGATCAATGTGTACGACAGCGTGTTCCAGTTCCCATCAATATCCAGCAACTTTGCACAGCCAGATACTAACTGGTTTTCTGATCCACACCCTTACCTTTTTTTAAAGGTATTTCTGACCACAGATGCATATCTGTATTTCCAGTCATGTGGAATCCATAGATTAGGGCCTAATTAATTAATTTGAATTAACTGATTTCCTTATATGAACTGTAACTCAGTAAAATCTTTGAAATTGTTGCATGTTACATTTATTTTTGTTCAGTATAAATATGTACACATTTACAGGAGCTCTGTGCTTAGGCTGCAACTAGGGCGCCATGGCAACTATAGAACAAGACATAGATTGACCAGGTGAATACAAGTGAAATCTATGATCCCTTATTGATGTCACTTGTTAAATTCACTTCAATCAGTGTAGATGAAGGGAAAGAGACGGGTTAAAGAAGGATTTTTAAGCCTTGAGACAATTGAGATATGGATTGTGTATGTGTGCCATTCAGAGGGTGAATGGGCAAGACAAAATATTTAAGTGCCTTTGAACAGGGTATGGTAGTAGGTGCCAGGCACACTGGTTTGTGTCAAGAACTGCAGCGCTGCTGGGTTTTTCACGCTCAACAGTTTCCCATGTGTATCAAGAATGGTCCACCTCCCAAAAGACAAACAGCCAACTTGACACAACTGTGGGAAGCCTTGGAGTCAACATGGGCCAAACATCCTTGTGAAACGCTTTCGACACCTTGTAGAGTTCAAGCCCTGACGAATTGAGGCTGTTCTGAGGGTAAAAGGGGGTGCAACTCAATATTAGGAAGGGGGGGACATAGACAAGTGCTTAAACAAGACTAGGTTTACAGTTGACACAAAGTGATGCTGCAATTTTGTTCAATCTTCACTTCGGCTCATAAATAATGTTTACATAGTGGGACATATAGAGTGCCTTCAGAAAATATTCACACCCTTTGACTTTCATCCACATTTTGTTGTGTTACAAAGTGGGATTAAAATGAAATTATTTTTTTATTTTTTTCAATGATCTACACAAAATACTCTAATGTCAAAGTGTAATACTTTTTTAATAGTTAGTAAAATAAAAAATAAAATAAAAAACACTAATATATTATTCAACCCCCTGAGTCAATACATTTACATTTTAGTCATTTAGCAGACGCTCTTATCCAGAGCGACTTACAGGAGCAATTAGGGTTAAGTGCCTTGCTCAAGGGCACATCGACAGATTTTTCACCTAGTCGGCTCGGGGATTAGAACCAGCGACCTTTCGGTTACTGGCACAACGCTCTTAACCACTAAGCTACCACCGTTAGCAGCGATTACAGCTCTGAGTCTTTCTGGGTAAGTCTCTAAGAGCTTCCCACACCTGGATTGTGCAACATTTGCCTATTATTATTTTCAGAAATGTTCAAGATCTGTCAAATTTGTTTTCTGGTCTTTCCATAGACTTTCAAGCAGATTTAAGTGAAACCTGTAACTTGGCCACTTAGGAACATTCACTGTCTTCTTGGTAAGCAAAGCAACTCCAGTGTAGATTTGGCCTTGTGTTTTAGGTTATTGTCCTGCTGAAAGGTGAATTCATCTCCCCGTGTCTGGTAGAAAGCAGACTGAACCAGGTTTTCCTCTAGGATTTTGCCTGTGCTTAGCCCCATTCCGTTAATTTTTTATCCTGAAAACTCCCCAGTCTTTTAAAAGCATACCCATTAGATGATGCAGCCACCACTATACTTTAAAATATGGAGCGTGGTACTTCGTAATGTGTTGTATTTGATTTGCCCCAAACATAACACTGCGTGAATTTGAAATGGATTAAATTGAGATGTTTTGTCACTGGCCTACACACAATACCCCATAATGTCAAAGTGGAATTATGTTTTTGATGATTATGTTTTTTATAAAAAATGAAACGCTGAAATGTCTTGAGTGAAAAAGTATTCAACCCCTTGTCATGGCAAGCATAAATAAGGTCAGGACAAAAAATGTGCTTAACAAGTCACATAATAAGTTGCATGGACTCACGCTGTGTGCAACGCTGTGTGATTTTTGAATGACAACCTCATCTCTGTACCACACACATTCAATTATCTGTAAGGTTCCTCAGTCGAGCAGTGAATTTCAAACACAGATTCAACCACAAAGACCAGGAAGGGCACCTATTGGGAGATGGGTAAAAATATATATAATTTGAATATCCCTTTGAGCATGGTGAAGTTATTAATTACACTTTGGATGGTGTATCAATACACCCAGTCACTACAACGATACAGGCGTCTTTCCTAAATCAGTTCAGGAGAGGAAGGAAACCGCTCAGGGATTTCACCATGAGGCAAAGCAATCATCAAAACTGAGGCAGCAGACTTTGTGAAAATTGTTATTTGTGTCATTCTCAAAACTTTTGACCACGACTGTATATAAGGCAATGCTGATGTAAAAAAAAAAGACAAAGTCAACCTAAAAAATTGCAATTAAAGTGAACATGAGGTTGCCTAACACTCACTCTTCAGTCCAACTGTATCCAAATTCAGTTCACTTGAGTGAGTAGCAGGCCTCCATGACAGTATTATGTGCCTGTGCCATGTATCTGGCTACAGAAAAGACAGGTGAGCTCGCGGTCTATTTATGTCCTCTACGGACACCGTAGGATTCTTTAATGCTCATATGACCACGCGCTTCTCCCATCCTTTGTTGTCGCGGAAGTAAAACACCATCAGTGGTAGCTAGCAAAAGTGGTTAACAGTTAACTGAAGCCGTTTACCTTTGAAAAAATGTATACTTAACTGGGTGTGTCTCCCATAGGACACGAACGCAATAGCAGCTGTGTCTGACTTCCATGGAACCAGCTGTCTCTGGTAGCTAGCTAGCTAGCTAGCTATTGTATTTTCCGACTGAACATTATCTTTAGAAACATAACACTAGTCAGATAAAATGTTGTTCCAGGAGAATATAACCAATTGTGTTACTTTTCAGACCAAGTTAACCTCGGTTATGGATGTGTTAGCCAAAGCTGCAGTTGCAGAAATAAGTAAAATGTTCGATGATGGGTTTGCTGTTTTACGCTTAGAAATGTGTCGTAGAGAAAATGAAATCGAAACGTTGAAACGGAGATTATTGTTTATGGAGAACGAACGGCAAACGACGCCGTCCAAAGCGCGAGAGGCAGGCTGTTCTTCCACATGCCCTTTGTCTTCCACCAGAACAGAGCAGGGTGAGCCAGCTCGTGTTCACTGTACCCATATAAATAAAATCAATGGATTATATTGCTAAGACTGTACTAGCTAGCTGAGTTTAGAATGAACCAGTACATGGGCTTGAGGAGACGATAAATATGACGAGCACTGCTCTGACGCCCAGGATACTTAAATTTAAAGACCCATTAACCAGCTCTACAAACGTTATTATGTTAAAAAAAAATACGTTCGGTACTCAGCAAAATATGTAGTTTCGCAGAGCAACTATAGTCATTACTGCCCTTATGCACGATATGTACTTTCAAAAAAGGTAAATAACACCATTTATTTCGTTTTTGACCGCATGCGGCAAATCCACCGTCGGCACCTCCAATAAAATCACACATTACTACTGCCTCGCAGGCTGATCCACCAACATTACAATATTCCGAAAGGTCATTGATTTTATTGGAAGTGCACAACGGCAGTAATGACTAGTTGCTCTGCGAAACTCCATATTTTGGTGAGTACAGAACCTATTTTGACATAACATTCGCAGACCTGGTTAATGGGGCTTTTGCCGCGTTCTATTGCAAGTCGGAACTAGGAAACTCGGACATTTACGACACGCTAAATGTTGTCGTTATACACGTGCCGCGTTCAACGACCAGCAAGTCGGAAATGTCCGAGTTTCCTACTAACATGAACGCAGCATTTGAATTGAAGGATCCTGGGCGTCAGAGGAGAGGTCGTCATATTAAGCTTCTCCCCAAGCCCAGGAACTGGTTTAGGTTTATGCTATGTTCACATGTTAGTCGGAACTAGGAAACTCGGAAATGGCCAACTTGATGATGTGTTACTACAATCAGTTAGCAAGGTGGACATTTCCGACTTTCCTAGTTCCGACTAGCACTTGAACGGGGCATTTGAGTAGAGCAATCTGAAATGTGTTGCTGTCCATCTCAACTCAAGGGTAAATTCTGCAAAAATATATCAAGTATTAACAATATGACTGACAATCATTTATGCCTAGCTAGTGTAGATAATGGATTTCAGTTGTTGACCTTGTTCAATTGTTCAGTGCTCTCTGAACTTTTACATTGATTTTGACATATACTGACAGTTCATTTAAACCTTTCCTAGGGTCCAAGGGGTCTGATAAGGGTGCTGGTGAAAGGACTTCATTTGAGCAGACCGCCAGAGACAAAGTTTTCACACCTAAAGATGACCAACTGGATGAAAATAGACCACAGCCACTTGCAGAAGTAGAGGGGCTCAATGAACAGGACAGGTCTGGCCACAGAGATCAGAAGGGTAGTGGACTAGAATTAGTGGTGAAGACAGAGCAAGAGGAGGAGTATGACGTTATTTCACTACATACATCAGGAAGTGAACATGGCACAGAGAGATCAGATCATCAGGAAACTGAGTTTGCCATGAATGACCGAGAGAGTCAGCTGTGGGCGTCTGTATCAGAGAGCAACTTTGACTCTGAGGGTCCAGATTGCTCTTATGGTACAGAACAATATACACAGGATCTCAATACAGACATACAGCTTATTCAAAGTGCTGTGCAGGGTCTGGATAGCGATCCATCATCAGAGATGGGGTACATTAACAGACTAATGAAAGAAGAGATGCGAGCACAGTCTGTTTGGAATCACCGAAGTAGGACCCCTACAGATTTGGTTCAGGCACAACCAGGTCAGCACAGAGAGCAAACTATGCACCCAGAGAGAAGGGAGGATGGAACAACTACCAGAGTGCCGTCAGACAAACAAACGCGAGCCAATGAGGGTGGAGCATATTCCAACGTTTGGCTAAACAACGTATTCTCGTTTGCCCCAAATGGTTTCAACTCCGCGAAAGTAGCCCCACGGGGAACCCCAGCAGGAGAGAAGCGCTTTGTTTGCACCTACTGCGGAAAGAGCTTTGACTGGGTCAGCCACTTGGAGATGCATCAACGGATTCATACGGGAGAGAAACCGTACAACTGTGTGACATGTGGGAGGAGTTTTGCTCAGCAGAGTAATCTCCGCACACACCAGCGAGTACACAGGGGCCTCAGAACAAAGCAAACAGTCTACTGATGGTTATCACCATGAAGAGACAACTAAGAACATTCTAGAGAAACCAGCTGGGGCCCGCCCCACACATTATGAAACACAACCTCATTAACCACGTTTCCATCCAGTTTTTATGCGAGTAAAGTCATACAATATTTTTTTTAAATCACGACAACTGTGATGGAAATTGGAAGTTTTGGTACAATTTCATCAATTCCGACAGATAATTTGTTTGTTCTACCTTTTTGTGTCTGTAAAATGTATTATGCGATAAATGGAAGTGGAAACGCCTTTATCCGCAAATATTAATTGAATAACCATCATATCAAAGTAAACTTGGCGTCACACGATGATTTGGTATGTGGTCCTCCCACTACGACATGGGAAACCATGCAGTTTATTAGGCTACAGATGAAATAAGTTATGAACTTCTCAGCCCACAAGGCAAAAACTGGTTGCATCATTGCTTCCATGTCATTTCAACAAAAAATTCAATCTGATGATGTTGAATCAACATGGAAAACCGATTGCGTTCATTCAACTTTTAACCTAAATCTAATGACATTGTGACATTTCACGTTGAATTTGCGTTAGTTGACATCTCAACCCAATGTAAATATAAACTATATGTTGAAATTATGTCTGCCCAGTGGGAGGGTGGTGAAAGAGCACGGTGATCTTGATGCTCCTTTCCAATAAATATAGAGGGTCTTATACTGGTGACATTATGAACGCTTGACTGCTGTTTGACAAATAAAAATATCCATAATAATCTCATCATGTAGAGTACCCTACACACAGAGCTTACCCACACTGTATCTGCGAGCTGTTGGCTAGAGCGCACATGCCAAGACCAGAGTAGGCATATTTGCAATTTAACGCAACAGTTTTTGTGACCAAACTATCAGTAGTTGAAAATGTGATGGAAACACATTGAACTTTAGATTTTTATTCGGTACATGAAAACACAAATATTTTATGCGGATTCTAGAATATTCACATGAAAATCTGTCACCAATTGGATGGAAACCTAGCTATTGACAAACATTTTCTAATGACTGAGAACAGAGAGTTTATGAGAAGACAGTCAAGACACTTGCAGAAAGCAGTAGTGTGTTACTTTTGTCTTCCTATTTTGTGAAGTGAGAGCAGTGAAACCCTACCACAACTGTTACACTAGTGGTGCTAATATACTGCAGGGAGGGATCACAGCCTCCTGCTTGTAACCTTTTAAAAAGGAACAATGTTATCAAGAGCCGGATCTCCATCGTCTTTTTAAAACTATGCCAGAGACTAACACATCTGGAGAGAAACACGACAGTGGACATGCTTTTATCAGTGCATACATTTTTATGAATAAACATGAGAGTTCTCTCAAACTTTGAGCCCTTTTGATTTTTAAAAATAGAAATAAACATGAAAATAACATTAACGCACAAGGGTAGGGTATATTTAGTATATCAGAACTATAATGTTAGCTGAAATGACAGCACAAGCACAACTAATAAGTGCTTAGACAAGACTAGGTTTACAGTTGACACAAAGTGATGCTGCAATCTAACAGGCCTCCATGACCATTGTGTTAGGATCGAGCGGAGGGCAGTTCCCTTTTCAACCAACTCCTTCCACCCCTGTCTAGATGATCTGTCCTCTGGGGTGTAGGAGGATGGCGTTGGAGTGCGGTTTGGGCCGCAGGAACCCGTTGCTGTAGTGGAAGTGGTTGGAGAGTGCCTCTGAGATCGAGTATGAACTGGTGTCACAGTCAGCCTCGTCAACCTCCAGCATGTCCTGTCTGTGGCCCCAGTCTTCCCCTTCGGTCACGCCCTCCCTCTGGCCACCCAGGTCGCTGAGCATTGGGGGGATGTCTGTGGGCCCCACACTGCCCGTCCTGGGGCTTCATGGGGACAAGGGAGGAAGGAAGGCCAGAGTCCTGAGAAATAGAGAGCCACATATTGCGAGGCATGAAGAGAAACAGATAGGCCTTCAGTTATTACAGAGTAAACTTAGTGTGCATTTTCAAATTTCACGTATCCTTTTCCTATCTCGGACACAAATACACACCAGGGACATATTGCTGCTCTTTAGGTACGACTCCACCCTTCGTCTGCGCTCTTCCCTTTCTCCCTCCATCTCAGCCCCCCTCATACTCTCTCTGCACTCGCGCCAGCTAGACTGGTACAGGACGGGACGGCCTAGGGGGTCCAAATCACCCTTTCCAACCGTCCCCCACCTCCCACCAAGGGTGGATTGACTGCCTTTGTAGATGGGATGGTCCTAACGAGAGGGATCACAATAATCCACAGATTAAACATCAATGAATAAATCCATATGACACTGTTCATAATATGTTGTAAATGTATAATAGTGTTGAAGCTTTTATTGAACTCTCACCTCAAGGGACATTAGGCTGTTTTTCATTCTACCGTCTAGTCTGAGTAGTGTATAGTCTTCATTCTGTGGGTGGGGTAAAAAGTAGAAAAATACTATCATTATTGCTGGCAGACACACATTCACAAGTAGATGATAACTAATAACTGAAAATGATAGATAACTGGAAATAAGAGCAAACAAGTGTTTGAATTTAAAGTACTCTGCACCTGTCCTCTGGGGTCTGTGCTGACAGAGTTGAGTCTCCTGGAGGAGGCCTGTCTGGAGAGAGTGTTGATTTCTAACCTATGAAAGAGAGCATTTCAGAAACAGAGGGGGATTTGAGTATGTAAGGATAGGGAAGGGGGGTTCAAAGTATTATGGAAATCAACTCACATCCTTTTGCTAAGCTCCATCTCTAATTTGCTGTTTTTGCGTCTTTGGTATCGGTTGACTAAAATGATCATGATGATCATGATGATGACCAACACCCCAGCAGCCAGACCTATAATGATCATCACTAGAGTGTCAACGATCATTTCCTGCACACTCTGCGATGTCTCTGTGTGAGGGAGTGGGACGGAAAGAGGAAATGCACACAAAATTGTAAACACAGAAAAACAAAGGTAGCGATTGCAGTGCCATGTCTATAAAATGCAGTTTTATTGCAACTTTAGTGAGATCTGTATTTCAGATTATTATCACAAGGGGGTAGCAATGTTACACAAATATTACCAATCAATTACCAGGCGTAGTGTGACCAGTGTTATGTTTTTCTGTTCAGATCTCCCCAAAATACAGGAGTAACATTGCCCCTTACCTGTAACTGTGATGTTATATTCTACTTTCCTTGTCCCAACACCGTTGTTCACCACACATTCATAAACTCCAGTGTCATTCTGTCTCAGGGCTCGGCCAAACAGAAGCCTTTCTCCATCCACAGTCAGGCCATCTGGCAGAGCCTTACCATCCCTGAAGATGGAGACAAAATACACAGATACAGGGGATTAAAGAATAGCAGAAAACAAGAATGCCCACATTAATACTAAACTTCTCAACAATGTAATCATGTAACCTACTCAACATACTCATCATGACTAATGGAATAGCAGACTCGCTGCATGAAACAATGGCAATGTCCATGAAGGCAGACACAGTGGGCACCCTTACGAAAAAAATATTGCAGTCAGAGTGCAGTTCAACTGCAGTACACTGCAGTTATTCTGCAATTACTGTGTCCAAAATACCACAGTTGACTGCAGTTACTGCACTTTTACTGCAGTTTCAAAACTTTTTTTGTAAGGGCAAGGTTGGTCAATTCTCAATTCAAATCATGGAAAAACAACAACATTAAAAGCCTTTTGTTCAACTAGAAACTTCCAGAATATAAAGCTCTGACAAGAATGTCAGCTAAGCTACACAGTAGTAACCTACAATTAAATAAAAACAATAGGTCAGCGTGCGTTGGTGAGGTGTTTTAGCCAGTGTTGGAGTACTCGAGACCACATATTGAATCGGTCTTGGCTCGGTGTCAGATACATTTGTACTCGGTCTTGACTCGATCTCGGAAAATGAGGACTCGTAATTTTTTCCCGAAGCCAGCGGAGTAAAAAACTCATAATTATCAGCTTCCATTCAGTCAGCGCATAAAACCACTTCGCCAGGCCAAATATATACACTCCTTTCTTGAAACATGAATATCTTAATAGTCTTTATATCTATTACAGTGATGTTTGCGCAGTGGCGAACTTATAGGCCTTCAGTGTGTGACAAGTTCGTGATTCTGAAAGGACAGCAACCGTAATACCAATATCATCTGCAGGAATATCATCTGCAGGCAGCAAGAGTGTGCAGCTCTTAACTGGTTTTGGCATGGAGCAACTCACAGAAGAATGACATCAGTAGCCGGTAGGGTAGGAAAGAAATTTCAATTTATGATATTTACCAGTAAATGCTAACTAAGGCAACAACGGGTATGCAAACCAGGTATTGAAAAAGTTTGTCTGAAGTGTTGGTTAGTAGGCTATTTGTGATGTGCAATTGTCATCATGCACTGTTTGCATCAGGGGCGTATACATGGATGGGCCTGGTTGGACACTCAGTTTTATTTGCTGCAGTGTCTATTAATTGTCCAAACGCACGGCTGCTTTCCCTCTCTATGTTGCTATAGAATTTTCACAAATGCCTTAGTATACATCATTCCCAAACATTCTAAGAATTTATGAAAACGTGAAAATGACCATATCTAAGTGTCCGATTTCTTCCTGGGGGTGTAATTTTTACAAGATTTCATGATGCTAAAATGCTGTCAGTTCCACTTTAAATGCAACAATGTTTCACACACATAAGTTATTTTCAAAGAGATGGCTAACAACAGCAAGCGCGCTGCAATAAAAAAAACACAGTTCCACTCACCATATAATGATCATTTGAAACTTAACTTCTTGTTTAAAGTTATTCTTGAAAAGGGAGAAGCTAACAAATTATCAACAACATCCTCTTTGATAACACCTGCTGCAGCCACTGCAAACTAGCCGACAACAAAAGTTAGCTAGCTAGACCGTGGGAAAACTACTGCTCGATATTGCGCAGTGACATGTTGACCTTAAAGAAGACAGAAGTTTCCATTCATATTTGTACAAATTGTCCCATCCATTAAGTCAAAATGTGATTGGTTGATTCCACTGTCACTCCAAAAGTTTGCCCTAATACAGTTGAATGGCAGATGCCTTTATCTACTGTAGCTTCTGATGGCCTAGCCAAAGGCTGATTTAGCTAGCTAGATTTATCTCCCCAGAGACCAGCAAAGAAAAATCCTGATTGGATATTTTTTTCTCTTCAGCGTTAACCCTTTCCTTTCCAACACAAACTGAAGAGATTAAATCAGAACATCTTTGAAAATAATAATATAATTATATTTACATTTTTGTCATTTAGCAGACGCTCTTATCCAGAGCGACTTACAAATTATAATTATATGATTATAATTATTTTATAAATCCTTAGCCCTTCTCTGAAGGCGTAGAAGGCCAATTGTTCCCCACTGTGTTTGGGTTAGTAATAATTAGTAGAGTGGCTCTATTTCCCTCAGAATGCATTCTTTCACTATTCTGAATGACTAAAGAATCCATATGTTGTTCTGAAATATGAACACAGAAATACTGGACATTTTTAACTCTTATTATGGTGGTGATTTGACAAAATTACAATCATGGTCTTGAATTGGACTCGCATTTTTCTGGTCTAGGTCTTGACTTGGTCTCGGACCCCTTGTCCCCCTTCCCAGACCCGTCGCCAGACCTCAGTCTTAAGGGGGCCATATGAAATGCATGGGAGGGCAGGGCACAATTATTATTAGCCTAAAGTACGTATATTTAATAATAAATTCCCTCAAGTGGGGGGGGGGCACAAGCATTTTTGGGGGCGGGCCCGGCCCCCTATGGCCCGCCCATAGCGACGGGTGTGCCCCTTCCGGTCTCGGTCTTGACTCGGTCTCGCCACCCCCCCACCCCCCCACCGGTCTTGGTCTTGACTCGGACTCGATTTGCTCCGGTCTTGGTCTTGAATCGGTCTCGCTTTAGATGGTCTCGAACACAACACTGTTTTTAGCTAAATACATTTTCGTTGTATCAGGTTGACTAAAGGGAAACCAACCATTTGCATTCACTTGTAAAATCAGTTTAATTGCTGCTCCTATTGATCTGAATAGAAAAATACAGCTTGGCTTGGGATTTGAGCCTACTATGAAGTAAGAGGCCCCTGAATAAGCTCAGATGTCCCAGGGAGTTTAATAGCGAGCCAGTATCTGACCCCACCAGGAACTAGGTCCACTGAGAGGGCTCATGTTGCCCTAGTTTCACTGTGCCCAGCCGGGCTACCAGTTTATTGCTCACCCCAACAAGGAGCTTCTCACATTTCTGTTCTCACTCAGCCCAACCTTCTAACCAATCCTTCATAATGGAATTAACGCCAGAGATTACATCTGACATTGAATATATGTTTGAGAATAATACTACTGATAGGGAAACCCTATCACCAAGTGGTCAGGATCCTGTTTCTTTTCATTAAAATGCATTACGTTTTTAGCAACATGCTAAATATGATACTTTATATACATTTAGAGCAATTTTGGAAAGTATATCTCCTTCAATTATATCTAACTACTGCAGAAACGGACTCATGGATTTTTATCATACTGCAATAGTGAGTATTTAATTGTGTGTTCTGTCAGTATTGTAAAGCTTGCAGAATAATCTTTAATTATGTGCAGACCCTGTGTTTTACTGCGTATTAGAGTGATATTTAAAGTGAGTCACTATGATTAAGTGCTTAAGATGCGCCTCCAACTCTTCCTCCTCCCTCCCTGGCTCCCTCACACGTGTGAAAATGTCTCTCTCCCAATCGGTTTTCTTATTCTGTAACTGGACACGATGTCTTTTATTTCATCTTGAATGGAACAAAGAGAGAAAGGCACCCTCCTAATTGACATACTCTTCTTTGTGTGTGTGTGTGTGTGTGTGTGTGTGTGTGTGTGTGTGTGTGTGTGTGTGTGTGTGTGTGTGTGTGTATGTTTTTGTTTAACTATCCTTGTGGGTACCAGAAGTCCTCACAAGGATAGTAAAATTTTTTGCTGGTCCCCACACAAGAAAAAATGATATTTTAGGCTTAGGGTTAGGATTATAATTAGGCTTAGGGTTAGAATTAAGGTTAGGGTTAGGAGTTACGGTTAGGGTTAGGAATTAGGGTTAGGTATAGTTTTAGGGTTAGGGGTTTGGGATTAAGGTTAGGCTTATGGTTAGGTTAGGGAAAATAGGATTTTGGATGGAATCAATTATTTGGTCCCCATAAGGATAGCAATACAAAACTGTGTGTGTGTGTATATTGTTCACGCCAGTATATGTATAGTATATTTTATAATGCAGTGTGTTACATTAGGCAAATAATGCATAGACAGAAACAAAGACAGTAAGTCAGACAGACAGGTAATACCTGGTCCAGGTGAAGTTTTTTGGTTTGGGGTTTCCTCCAGACTCACATCGGAGTTCAACTCCCTTCAGTCCCATGTACCAGTTTCCATCAAAGCCGGTGACAGATGCATCTGGGGGAACTATCAACACAAACATTTTCACTTTAATCCATCCTAGCATGGCCATCTAGTTACCACCTTCCCATGGTGACAGCTGAGGGTAAACTCACATTGCACCACCAGGCGGTTGCTGATCCTGCGGGGTTGTTCCAGAGCAGGGTGCCAGACCAGGCAGTCCAACCGCATGCCATTCATGCTCCTCAGGGGGTGCAGGGAGAAGTGGGTAGACACGGCCCCGCTCTCTGAGCTGCGGTTCTGGGCCTGGCCAGGGAGGTCCGTGTCCCAGGTCAGGCGGGGTGGAGGGCGGGCCACGGAGCGGCAGGAGGCAGCCACGCGGAAGGACTGGCCCTCCTCCAGAACCACCGGGTCCAGAGAGGAGATGGGGAAGGCTGGGGAGGAAGGGAGGTAGAAGGGCACGGTCAAGCTGAGCTATATTAGATTGCATTTTATGCAGGTAAATTTAGTTTTTAAGTAAGGCTTTGGTCAGTCAGAACTGAGAGAGTTCCTTCAGTGGAAATGACTATGTCCCGTGTAGCTCAGTTGGTAGAGCATGGCGTTTGCAACGCCAGGGTTGTGGGTTCGTTTCCCACGGGGGACCAGTATGAAAAAAAAAAAAATTATGCACTCACTAACTGTAAGTCGCTCTGGATAAGAGTGTCTGCTAAATGACTAAAATCTATAACAATGAAAATAGTAACTTGGTTTACAACTAGGATGAAAAGGAGGATGGTGAAATAAATTAGTCTTACTCCACACAGTGAGTGACAGCTTCCTCTCGAAGTTCCCATAGGGGAATGTGCTGATGTGACAGATGTATTTCCCCTCATCAGACTCCTCAGTGATCAGGATGAGCAGAGCAGAGTTCACCATGGGGCGACTGCTCTCAAACCTCACTCTTCCAGAATACCGCCCAAACTCTAACAGAGAGAGACAGAGACATGGTTTTGTTTCAGGTAAACATTACAGTCATTGCAGACAAATGCATGAAAACAACATTATGATAGTGATTAAGATGTGTGAGTTGGTGAGGGCATGGTGTACCAACCTGTGTGTCCCTCTGTGCGGTGGACGGTGATGATATGTTCCTTGGTGCCATCAGGTAGCTCCTTGATCCAGCTGACCTGAACTACCTGCTCGTCCTCCTGAACCTGAAACTGACAGGGCAGCCGCGTCTCAGCCTCCGTCAAGGAACGCAGGGAGAAGGATGGAGGAGGCTCCACAAACCCACCCCTCACACACGCTGCTGTATGAGAGAGAGAGAGAAAAGGGTGAGAGAAGGGGTGTGAGAAAGAGTAATGCATAATCACCATAATAAACAAGAACAAACATTGCCCTTTGAAATGTCTGGGTGGATAGACAGTCTGTCATTAATGATTCCTTCACTCATGAATGATTACACCTGTAGATAAGAGACCATGGCATATACTATGAGCCATTCTATAAATTTCAACCACACAAGAACAAGGACACAGACCCCTCGGACACACAAAGGAATGCAAACAAACTTTTTCTCACACACAGGCTCACACTTATTTATAGTCAACATAAAAAAGGGACTCTGTGACCTATTTTACAGACAGGGGAGAGTGGGAAACAGACAGACACACACACACACACACACAGAGGTAGAGTGTGAGCCACAATGCTGTTTTTCTTGCTTTTCCTGTTCATGACATTTACCATTATCACACCTCAGTTTGACAGTCATGCTAAGGCCATTAACACAAACATACTGACAAAAAGTGCACTTACTGACCTCAAAGGAAGTCTACTTTTAACACAGGTATAGGCCTATACATGCTACAAAAACTTACTCATTACTAATCAATCAAAACAAAAGATGCAGGGAAATAGCCTGTGTTTTTTTTGTTTTCCAAAGAAGAATGTTACTCTACCACATTTCTGTGGTGGTGAGTGTTGTTCAGCACTTGTCACCACCACTCCCTTTCCTAATAGTGTCATGGTATGCAACTAAAATACACACACAGATATTATAAAAGCTATTATATATATATATATATATATATATTTTTTTTTTAAACCCATTCTCAAATCTTACCAAATGCCCATAGCACCAACCACGCTGCCTCCGACTGGCTCTGGTCCCAGACAGGTAACTTCATTCCTCGATTCACCAGCCCTCACAATATCAACGTTGAACTACAAGCTTCAAAATGTTATGAAATAATTCATTTTTTGTCATCTCATCATTATTAGAAATATGAGAGTAAACTGGTGCCACTTATAGTGCAATTGAAGTGTATTGAAGCAAAAAGATTCAGTCCTAGCGCTGTTTACGGCAGAGGCAGGTAGACAGGCTGTGCGTCAGGTTGGCAGTGCGTCAGGTGTTCGTCTCTCTTCGTTTTTGCTTGATTTAATACACTTCCCATGGTTACTCCATGGCTTTTCAGTCTGACCGAAGTTGCCATAAAAAAGACGCAATAGTCTCTACAAGACAGAATTCTTAATACAATTATATTTACACTTCCTTTCCCTGTTGTACATGTTGTTGGACTTTTTGGTGGTAGGAGGTGGAGATGTTGTTTACCCGAAATTTTGCGCAGGTTCTGTCACTTGTATTTTAAATCTCTTGAGGCATTGCACGTGACGCACAATATGTAAACAATAGCCGAATGTAACCGAATGTAGTGCCACCAAAGAGCGTTTCCTCGCAATCAGCTGGAAGTGTTTGCTGTTTGTTCTGTGGTTCGGTTAGGCTCGCTTTGTCAAACGCAAAGTGCATCAGTATTGAAAACAAAACTGGAAATACAAACCGATATACAGACCAGCGTACTGTAGGTCGGGTTGAAAACACTACCCTGTTGATATTTTGTATCAGATTACTTCCACCATAGATACAAAATCGCCAGACAACAGGTAAAGTAAATTGAAACGATTTTTTGTTCAACGTTCCGACTTGTAGTGGGACTATTCGGGAATGCTGAGCCTACATGTTAAAGATAGACGAGTGTGTAAGTATTTCACTCATGGATTCTAAAAGAGGCTACGTTTTTGCCAATCAAACCCAACCAGTTCAATTTATTTCCAGGAGCCCACGAATTGTTTACACATTTTCCACTGTATAACTATGTCCAAAATATTTAGTTACATTCAAAAAAATGTTTTCAGTTTAGTGTTCAAATTTTTCTAACTCTCACTCTCTCCAGGAATCCATAGTCCATACCTGACAGATGCATGAGGTAAAAAGTTAATTCCAATCCGAACAACTGCAAACACCAATCAGGTACCTACTCAACAACATTTGAACATAATTAGATTAAGTCATTAGCCTACACAAGACTGACATTATTCTGTGAAATTTCTCGAATTTACACCATGCTCATGCCATTGTTGAATACACCAGTGGCCCCCTGCGTCTTTCTCCACCCCTTTAGTTGCATCACCCCCCCTAATTAATATTCAAAATATTTTGACAGGTAAAGAAGCCTGCTTTTCTGTCTTTTGAGTTTTACAGTGCATTCTTTTATTTGACACAATCCAATGCACAATACTGTACACCTGGTGGTCTATTCTCAAATGGCCATAGCCTTATCTAAATGTAAACGTATACTGTATGTATTTGGTCAGATTAATGGAAATTAGTATTGAATCAGATCAAATCTCATTTAGAGTCAAACTTGAGGTCTAATTGGTCACTTTCACTCTTGCTGAGGTCTATGCTCATATATTGCCCCTGAATTTGAGATGTTTTCTTTCATATTAATTATGGGTATTCAAAAGGAGGATGTTGTTACAAGAATACATTATATAAGGTTTATGGTACTCCCTAGACCCCTCAAACGCAACTCTGGACCTCGAATCCAGTTCCACTGAATTTTTTCATTGTTCCCCTCTAATCAGGGACTGATTTAGACATGGGACACCAGGTGTGTGCAATTAATTATCAGGTAGAACATAAAACCAGCAGGCTCTGGACCTCGTAGGGTAAGGGTGTGGGGGATGGGGAGTGGAATGTGCAGCTCAGGGTTGTGAGGTGCTGATAACAGTCACAGGCAGGGAATGCTGAGCCTACATGTTAAAGATAGACGAGTGTGTAAGTATTTCACTCATGGATTCTAAAAGAGGCTACGTTTTTGCCAATCAAACCCAACCAGTTCAATTTATTTCCAGGAGCCCACGAATTGTGTACACATTTTCCACTGTATAACTATGTCCAAAATATTTAGTTACATTCAAAAAAATGTTTTCAGTTTAGTGTTCAAATTTTTCTAACTCTCACTCTCTCCAGGAATCCATAGTCCATACCTGACAGATGCATGAGGTAAAAAGTTAATTCCAATCCGAACAACTGCAAACACCAATCAGGTACCTACTCAACAACATTTGAACATAATTAGATTAAGTCATTAGCCTACACAAGACTGACATTATTCTGTGAAATTTCTCGAATTTACACCATGCTCATGCCATTGTTGAATACACCAGTGGCCCCCTGCGTCTTTCTCCACCCCTTTAGTTGCATCACCCCCCCTAATTAATATTCAAAATATTTTGACAGGTAAAGAAGCCTGCTTTTCTGTCTTGAGTTTTACAGTGCATTCTTTTATTTGACACAATCCAATGCACAATACTGTACACCTGGTGGTCTATTCTCAAATGGCCATAGCCTTATCTAAATGTAAACGTATACTGTATGTATTTGGTCAGATTAATGGAAATTAGTATTGAATCAGATCAAATCTCATTTAGAGTCAAACTTGAGGTCTAATTGGTCACTTTCACTCTTACTGAGGCCCTCTAATCAGGGACTGATTTAGACATGGGACACCAGGTGTGTGCAATTAATTATCAGGTAGAACATAAAACCAGCAGGCTCTGGACCTCGTAGGGTAAGGGTGTGGGGGATGGGGAGTGGAATGTGCAGCTCGGGGTTGTGAGGTGCTGATAACAGTCACAGGCAGGGAATAAATAATGGTGTTGCTTGAGAAATATGTAGACTAGGAGACACCACCATCTAGTGGTCTTTCTGGAGCTAAACAAAAGCAAGGATACCTTTGACAGATAATCTCACATGCATGAAAAAAATATTTATAGAATGAAACCACATATGAATTTACATAGCCTATATTGAATCACACAGATGCAAAACCTTTATGAGCATTTTATGAGTAAAGACAGGAAGTCAGTCGGACTCTGTGCAGTCAGGTTGTTGAGCTTGTGTTGGGTCCTTCCAACGGTAACACAGAAGTAGAACACCCATCCTAATAAACATGCTGAAAATGTGTTAAGATAAATATTTCATATCAATTATATAAAATATGTAGAAATAAAATGCACTGTTTGTTAGCCTATGGTAGTATCATTAGCATACAATGTTGACTAAACTTTAATAGAAAACATGGAACCATGATTTAAAGTTGTTGTCGAATCATTTAATCACAGTTTTAAATGACAGGAGAATTGATCGTTCATTTTATGAAGTGAAAGGCTGGTATACAGAATAATAAAAATGCATTTTGAACACTGCCCTACAGTCAACAGCCACCAACACTACTGGCCCAACCGAAGCCTGATGTTTTGGAAAGCAGTCATGTAGATTTAAACTAATTTAAATGCCATGTTAGACAGGGTTTGTTGTTTACCACAACTCGCTTTACTGTTCTTCCTCTATCACACCAGCACAGCTGTCTTCTGCACTTTGATGGTCTCATAAGTGTCCTGACCTTTATGGGTCAAACCCTGTGAGAGGAAGAAGAGTGAGTGTCTTGAAAACAACTTGAAATCCTGAAAACTGCAATGTTGTTTGTTTCATTAATGATATGTCATTATAAGAATAAGAAAATTGATCTTACTGCGTAAAGTCCCTCTCCTTTCTGTAAAATGGAAATTGAGAACTGTTATCTGCTGAAGGCACACGCACACACCATTTATTTTAACATGATTTCCCAACAGTTCACATAAATGAGTTGTTTAGCAGACGCAGACAGAACTAAAGGGCATCGATATGCATTTCTCCTTCCCTACTTCTCATTTTCTCCTCTACTTATTTTTAACTGCAAAGGCAGGAATTGGTGTAAAGACTGCAGACAGAGTGATGCCAACATATAAGGCTTATGCTACTCTTAGCTTTTACTGTAATTTGATTTGATTTTTATCACAATCTATCTACACAGTTATTTCTGTGTAACAGGATATGGGGTTGTGTTTTAGTCTGACAGTAATGGAAACTGTGTTTATAAGTAACAGGCTTGGTGGTCAGTTCTTGTTAACAGGAAATTATGACAGTTGCTGGGGGAGGAAAAGCAGAACTGTGGGTCTTGAGATGACATGGTAAGACAGTATAGGACTTGAATTCATGAAGGATAAGCAGGATAATAATTTCGCCAGCTAAATTAGAAAATCATTCAGAGTTGAATATTGAGAGTATTGCGTCATTTCTACATGCTCAATACACATTTACATTCTCTCTTGCTTTTTCTTTCTCTCCCTCTTAAACACGGGCACAAAATTGTTATTTTACCTGTGAATATCCGCCAGTGCCCTGTGGATATCCATCAGTGTTTCTGTAGATTGGAGTCATCTGAGGAACATGATAAATATAATTTTAACTAAACAGCTGTGTGAATGTGAAATGTATTCTATTTATGTGGGAGCTAGTTTTCAATTGGATGTGAGGAAGTTAGATTGGATGTTTTGAATGTGCCATTATTGTTGAAATATAAAGACAGTTTTAAAGTATGAATGTCGTAACTAAATGGTCATGGAGATATGTGTGCACTGCACACCCTGATGTATCATACACTATATACACACAAAAGTATGTGGATTCGGCCATTTCAGCCACACCCGTTAAAATCGAGCACACAGCCATGCAATCTCCATGAACAAATATTGGCCGTAGAATGGCCTTACTGACGAGCTCAGTGACTTTAAATGCGGCACTGTCATAGGATGCCACCTTTACAACAAGTCAGTTCGTCAGATTTCTGCCCTGCTAGAGCTGCCCCCGTAAACTGTAAGTGCATTTATTGTGAAGTGGAAACGTCTAGGAGCAACAACGGCTCAGCCGCGAAGTGGTAGGCCAAACAAGCTCACAGAACAGAACCGCCGAGTGCTGAAGCACGTAAAAATGATGTCCTCGGTTGCAACACTCACTACTGAGTCAGCACAATAACTGTTTGTCGGGAGCTTCATGAAATGTGTTTCCATGGCCGAGCAGCCGCACACAAGCCTATCACAACCATGCACAATGCCAAGCGTTGGCTGCAGTGGTGTAAAGCTTGCCGCCATTGGACTCTGGAGCAGTGGAAACTCGTTCATTGGAGTGATGAATTACGCTTCACCATCTGGCAGTCCGACGGACAAATCTGGGTTTGGCGGATGCCAGGAGAACACTACCTGCCCCAATGCATAGTGCCAACTGTAAAGTTTGGTGAAGGAGGAATAATGGTCTGGGGCTGTTTTTCATGGTTCGGGCTTGGCCCCTTAGTTCCAGTGAAGGGAAATCTTAACGCTACAGCATACACGATTCTGTGCTTCCAACTTTGTGGCAACAGTTTGGGGAAGGCCTTTTCCTGTTTCAGCATGACAATGCCCCCCTGCACAAAGGGAGGTCCATACAGAAATAGTTTGAGATCAGTGGAAGAACTTGACTTGCCTGCACAGAGCCCTGACCTTAACCCCATCGAACACCTTTGCGATGAATTGGAACGCCGACTGTGAGCCAGGCCTAATCGCCCAAATTCTGTGCCCAACCTCAGTAATGCTTGTGGCTGAATGGAAGCAAGTCCCTGCAGCAATGTTCTAACATCTAGTGGAAAGCCTTCCCAAAAGAGTGGAGGCTGTTATATCAGCAAAGGGGGGACCAACTCCATATTAATGCCCATGATTTTGGAATAAGATGTTCGACGAGGCGTCCACATACCTTTGGTCACGTTTTGTGTATGTTGTGATGTTTTATGTGTTATAGGACGTTTATAAAACCTTACCCTCAGTCTGAAGTACAAGAAGGTGAGAACGATGCCGTAGGACAAGAGAATCCCATCCAGGACGTAACACAGCTTCCCCTCCGGCACTTGGGCCTCTGTACACATTATGGAAGCACATTTCATCATCGCCATCCATCATAGATAAATCTAATGTAAAAATAAATTACGTCAACCACAAGCCTACTGTTTTTATCTGCTCATATTGTAATACTGCAAATACTTCATTATTCACTTATCACATTGTTAAGGACATTGTAGTTAAAGAGAAAGATCAATAATATATTGCATAGAGTGCTGTATTACTAGGCAATTCAGTTGAGGATCAGGAGTAACTGTCAAAGTATACAGAGTATAAATGTCCCTGTCCAGTGCTGAACAGGAAAATAAAACAGGATTCGCACCAGCAAGGCTGAAGTTCAAGAATAGAGTGACCAAGATCAGAGAATCCCGAAACATCTTTGTAGGAGCCGCAAAATGAGAGAGAGTAGATGGACAGTTGGAGTACTTCGTGTTATTTCGATGGCTGTCCGTGGGTTTCTGACGCCTCTGAACAGAAAGTCCAGAGAGCTGTAGCAGGAAGTTATGTGCTCATACTGAAGTGTCAGTTTTCATCTAAAAACCACACGCTTGTCCTCTCCTCACCCATAGAGATACGTGTCAACTACAGTATGTGAGAAAGAGAAGATGGAAACACAAACATGTACACATTTGATGCATAATTCTACTGCCGAGGACATTACACTGTTCCTGGATACCTAATTCTGTGGCATATTGTAATTCATAAGTATTGATACTGTGTAAGGCTATTTGTTAGTGTGATTCCCTTTTTGACAAACTTGTGATGTAAATATTAAATAATATGGTGATCAGAAACTTAAACAGTATGATATACATACACATGGCTAAAAATGAAATTACTCCTCAGTGTGAGGGTGTTGGCATGTCACTAGAGGGTCCTATATAACTGAATAATGGGGTGCTATGGAAAACAAAAAGCCTTAAAAGGACTCCGAAGGGAATGAGTGGGAAGCGTGTTTTAGGTAAGAAAGGGAAGTTTAAACTCAATTGGAATTACTTTTCAATTCTATATCTTTCTCTGAATTATGACTCAGATTCCATTTATGTCTTTAATCATCTTCTCATCAGTAGGCTTACAGTATTATTTTTGCTAACAGGACCAGCGAATGAAAGACAGGGCTTCATACAATCACAACTTTGTGTATGTGAGAAAAGCAGTGACAGGAAGTAAAAACATCTTGCACACTATACAAGCTAATATTATCAATAAAGAAACATTCAAATCTTTGTACACCCCACCTCTTTTCCAAAAGTAAAAACATTTTTTGAATTGAATTATAACTTAGGCATAGTAAAAAATATATAGAAAACAAACAACCTCATAAAATATATTTAAACCCAAAATTCTAGCATGCATAAAAAACTGGAATGACAATCATTAGCATTCTGTCATCCAGATGACTTTATCATCAATTATGTCAAACCAGTTCTGAACTTTCATTGGTTGTTCTCACAGAAATGTATGGTATTAAAGTTCTAACTGCTTGAATAAAAATGACTGGCAGTCATTTTGTGGCTCAGAAGATGAACTGCACCAAACTGCAACATCAGGCTGCCAGTTACAGCACATCTTGGTTAGAACCGAGAGGTTTAGTGGTCAGAGAAGTGGTTCTTTGCTAAAGATCACTGGCCAGCATTTCGTAGATCACACATGGGTAAGGCTGTTACTGTGCTTGTTTTAATGTTTTACAATGTGGCACAATCTGGTGATTTGCTATGACTGCAGAGGACTTGCAGTGAGGATACAATCACATGTCCCTGGTCAGAGGGAGATGGATGGAGGACAGTGGACACAGGATAAAGACAAGACAAGTCCATTCAAAACAGCTTCATGGCACTACAGGTTATTGAGGAAAGTCAGTCTGAGTAACATTGTAAGAATGCTGTCCCAAGGCAGGAATTATTTTCTCATTCAATGTTACCAAAATCATGATAACTTATGGCCAGTGTAAAATGAAATAAGAGCCACATATACAAGGAATATATGACTCTACAACAACAGAATATATGACTCTACAACATACAGAGTCTCAGTTACAACAAGCTCAGGAATGTAGTTCCTTCGCAAACAGATGGAGACAGTTGACCTACAGGCAACAATAAACACCTTTTTCTTTTTTTTTAAAGGGAATTTTACAGTGTCATAAGTAATGGTCAAGGCATCCATCTTCTGTCTTTGGAAGATCGTAGCTTTATCACATTCTGTTAACATCCACGACAATGGTTCGATAGGAGATTACATGATGATCTAGCGCCCTGCATATCCCAGTAGAATCAGGGTCCTCCACTGACCCCCTTTACACAGAGGTCTCCGACTGCAGCCTCATCACAAACTTGTGGCTCTTGGGGTCAATAAACTCCTCACCGATACGCAGGAAGGGGAGGGGCTGCACTGTGACGACGAGGGAGAAGTCGAGGCGGCGCAGGGAGAAGACCAGACCCTGACGCAGGGCAGAGGTTACCGGCTCCTCGCTCACTAGAGTCCACTGGCGCCCCCTACCATGCTCACGCTGGTACTGCATGGTAGGGCCCGGGCTCACGTAACGCTCCAGGAATGCCTGGAAAGACAAAATAAAATACAGCCTTTCAAAATCAACCTGAATGAGGAAGACCTGTGAATGGGTACAGAGAGGATGAGTAGTTAAGTACAAGTTCGAATTTGAATTCTAGATCTGATCAAATGCATGCTATTTATTAGGGCCGGGAGGATACCAGTATAGCGATACACTTTAGTATCGTGGCAAGGAAACAAAACGGATTTTACTTCTTTAGGAAAACAGCCCTAATTTTGGAAACAAATATAATGATGCTGTCATCCAGTCACATGTATTTTTTTTCCCAAGCTGTAGCAGACAATATTTTACATATAGCAGGTTTTTAAAATGACCAAACAGTTTGGTCTGCTTTGTGTTTTCATTTTTGTCATGGAAAAAATAAATCGCAATACTGGTATCGTCCCAGCCCTACTATTTATCCCAAAAGCTGTTGTAACATTTTACCCAGAGTCACACAATGTATCCCTTCTATTTGAAGGGATACATGATAAAGAGAACATGATAAATTCTGCTCACCTTGGGGGTCATGTTGTGGGTGATGCAGAACTGCAGGTGTGTGAGGATGCTCTCCATGCTGTGGTAGGGCTGCTGGCGCGTGGTCCTCAGGTACTTCTGCATGGCCCTGGCCATGGGGGCGAAGATGGCCTGAGCCGCCTCCCGGGGGTCCATCACCTCACGGGGATGTTTGTGGGACGAGGCTGCGGGGTCATCATCCTGGAGACGCTTGATGTGGGTGAAGGCCTCTTCCACCGCTACTACCAACCTGGACAACACAACAATAATCATTATGATCAGTGTTATTATTATCAGCAACAGCTCTCAATGAGAAGTGGCATCAGTCATCATAACTGTGCCTGAAACACACTATGAAAGGGACTGGTTATCCTCTAGCAACATACATAGCAACAAGACTCACTGGAGACATAAACAGAACAGGGACATCAACAGGATTCTTCTTTCCCTAATCACTTTAAAAGCATATTACTGAAATGTATAGGGGACAGGATGTTGTCGGTCTTACCTGGCCTTGCGCTTGCGGCACCTGCGGTCCATCTCGGCCTCCTCGTAGTAGTACTCGTTGTGGGAGTTGTCCCTCCTGCGGGCCGCAGCAGCGATCATGGCCCGGGACTGACTGGTGGAGTTATTGGTGCTGTTCTCTGTGGATCAATATATCAGTCAGTGGATGGATGGGAGGGATGGAGGGATGGATGGGATGGGAGGGAGGGATGGATGGATGGAGGAGGGTGGGGTGATGGAGTGATGGGGGGGGAGGGGAGGAGGAGGAGGGGGAGAGGGGGATGGAGGAGTGGGAGAGGGGAGAGGAGGGAGGGGGGGATGGGATGGATGGAGGGGAGGGAGGGGAGGGGATGGGATGGGATGAGGAGGAGGGGGGGATGGGAGGATGGATGGGAGGGAGGGGAGGGGATGGATGGAGGATGGAGGGAGGGGAGGGAGGATGGAGGGAGGGAGGAGGGAGGAGGGGGAGATGGAGGAGGGAGGATGAGGAGGGAGGGGAGGGAGGGGAGGAGGGGGAGGGAGTGGAGGGAGGGAGGATGGATGGGAGGGAGGGAGGAGGATGGGAGGGAGGAGGGGGAGGGATGGATGGATGGGATGGGGGGGAGGATGGAGGGAGGGAGGGAGGGATGAGGATGGAGGGAGAGGGAGGGGGAGGATGGGATGGGAGGGGGAGGATGGATGGGAGGGAGGGGAGGATGGAGGAGGGAGGGTGAGGGATGGGAGGGAGGGATGGGAGGGGGTGAGGATGGGAGGAGGGGAGGGAGGGGAGGGAGGGCGGGAGGGATGGGAGGGAGGGAGGGAGGGCGGGCGGGAGGGGAGGGCGGGAGGGAGGGGAGGACGAATGACTGGATTGATGGATGGCTGGCTGGACAGATGAATGGAAAGATACTGTAAGGTAGAGAGATAGAGGGGGTGTAGAATGCTGTATACCGTCCAGTGAGTAGACTTTGAATCCAGACATCTTCTTGGAGAGGATGGACTTGGGCAGGTTGAGCAGGGCAGGGTTGTAGACTGGGAAGTCACTGTAGTACTGATCCAGCACCCACACTGCTGCCCTCTGAATACTGGAACACACAATCATAATCTTCATTACTATCAACATCACAATGAGGTTATGTGAACAGCACAATGTACAGTGGCTTGTGAAAGTATTCACACCCCTTGGCATTTTTCCTATTTTGTTGCCTTATATCCTGGAATTAAATTAGATTTTTGGGGGGTTTGTATCATTTGATTTACACAACATGCCTACCACTTTGAAGATGCAAAATATTTTTTATTGTGAAACAAACAAGAAATAATACAAAAAAACAGAAAACTTGAGCACAAAGTCAATACTTTGTAGAGCCACCTTTTGCAGCAATTACAGCTGCAAGTCTCTTGGGGGTATGTCTCTATAAGCTTGGCACATCTAGCCACTGGGATTTTTGCCCATTCTTCAAGGCAAAACTGCTCCAGCTCCTTCAAGTTGGATGGGTTCCGCTGGTGTACAACAATTTTTAAGTCATACCACAGATTCTCAAATGGATTGAGGTCTGGGCTTTGACTAGGCCATTCCAATACATTTCAATGTTTCCCCTTAAACCACTTGAGTATTGCTTTAGCAGTATGCTTAGGGTCATTGTCCTGCTGGAAGGTGAACCTCCGACCCAGTCTCAAATCTCTGGAAAACAAACAGGTTTCCCTCAAGAATTTCCCTGTGTTTAGCACCATCCATCATTCCTTCAATTCTGACCAGTTTCCCAGTCCCTGCCGATGAAAAACATCCCCACAGCATGATGCTGCCACCACCATGCTTCACTGTGGGGATGGTGTTCTCGGGGTGATGAGAGGTGTTGGGTTTGCGCCAGACATAGCGTTTTCCTTGATGGCCAAAAAGCTCAATTTTAGTCTCATCTGACCAGAGTACCTTCTTCCATATGTTTGGGGAGTCTCCCACATGCCTTTTGGCGAACACCAAACATGTTTGCTTATTTTTTCTTTAAGCAATGGCTTTTTTCTGGCCACTGTTCCGTAAAGCCCACCTCTGTGGAGTGTACGGCTTAAAGTGGTCCTATGGACAGATACTATAATCTCCGCTGTGGAGCTTTGCAGCTCCTTCAGGGTTATCTTTGGTCTCTTTGTTGCCTCTCTGATTAATGGCCTCCTTGCCTGGTCCGTGAGTTTTGGTTGGCGGCCCTCTCTTGGCAGGTTTGTTGTGGTGCCATATTCTTTCCATTTCTTAATAATGGATTTAAAAATGGTGCTCCGTGGGATGTTCAAAGTTTCTGATATTTTTTTATAACCCAACCCTGATCTGTACTTCTCCACAACTTTGTCCCTGACCTGTTTGGAGAGCTCCTTGGTCTTCATGGTGCTGCTTGCTTGGTGGTGCCCCTTGCTTAGTGGTGTTGCAGACTCTGGGGGCTTTTAGAACAGGTGTATATATACTGAGATCATGTGACAGATCATGTGACAGATTGTACACAGGTGAACTTTATTTAACTAATTATGTGACTTCTGAAGGTAATTGGTTGCACCAGATCTTATTTAGGGGCTTCATAGCAAAGGGGGTGAATACATATGCACGCACCACTTTTCCGTTACTTATTCTTTAGAATTAAGTTATACGTTTAGTTATTTTTTTCATTTCACTTCACCAATTTGGCCTATTTTGTGTATGTCCATTAAATGAAATCCAAATAAAAATATATTTAAATGACAGGGATGAATACTTTTGCAAGGCACTGTACGTACACAGACACACAGAGACAAACACAGACACACACTCACCTGAGGTGTCCAACGTTGTAGAAGCGACTAGCCCCGTCTGTCGCGCGCACCACCTTGAGGCAGAAGGCAGGCTGCAGGTGTCTGACCTCCAGCAGCACCAGGGCCAGGTACTGGATGAAGAGCAGCGCATCCACCAGCGATGCAGCATACTCCACGATGCCTCTATAGTCCCTCTCCCGGGGCTCCAGCACGCGCACGCCATAGAACAGCCAGTAGGACGCCACGAACAGGAACACCAGCACCATGAGCAGGCAGCGGAAGATGAAGAAGCGGGGCAGGGTGGCGTGCGGCGGGCGCAGGAACAGCGCCCAGGAGGAGATGAGGAGCACCAGGAGCTTGAAGGCCAGGGAGACGTAGAGACCCTCGCAGGGCGTGCCGCAGGGCTCCAGGGCCTCACGCCACAGCAGTTGGGGGAGGACCAGGAAGGCCAGGGGGGTGACCAGAGCAAACAGGCCTAGGCAGCCACCCAGCACAGGCCCCAGGAAGCGCTTGCATTCCAGGGGAGACGATTCCTCCAGCTCCTTGGAGACGCGCGTCAGGTCCTCGTTGGACACGCTGTGTTCTGATGTGCCTGTGACCACGGTGGTGTTCTCGCCCCAGTTGTCATCCTGCAGACAGGGACAGAGACAGGACATAGAGTAATCGTGGAGGAGAGATTGGAGGGGGGCTTTATAGAGATATAAAAGGATAGAGAGGTTGCGATTTGGATGGGTAGGGAAGATTATAACTGGACCTGACGTTTTTCTGACCACATAACCTGATCCTGGTTAGGTCACATGGTCAGGAAAAACCGTTGTCGCCATTATGAGATAAAGATTCTGAGAAAGAAATATGGAGATCTAGAGGGGTTGAAGAGGAGAAGGTTGTGATTCTAACCCTGTCATCACCGCGGGTCGACTCTGCATCTAGTAGTGGCTCCCCAGGGGCCTGGATGGTGACAGACTTGTCCCCACGGCTGCTGCCGTCTCTGCTCTTGGAGCGATGTCTGTCCCTCCGATCCCTGGATAAAAGAAAGGACAACCACACAGTTATATGTTAGCGTGTTAAGCCTTTGTCGTTGCGTAACCGAGGCCTGGGGGTACATGTGTTTTCCACGTGTGTGTGATTGCTCATCAATATGCCCATTGACTAATGGATCAATGTGTGTGTGTGTGTGTATTACACATGCATTTGAGCCTAGTGTTTCACTAAAACATGCGTGGAACGATTGTTTAAAGTGTACTTGCACGCTTGTGTGTGTTTTTTTGTGCATGTCTGACCAACCCTCTGGTACCTGTGCTTGCGGGAACTGCGGGAGTGGGACGACTTGTAGGAGTAGCCCGAGTACTGTGACTCGTTGTCCATATCTCGGGTCGGTGGACGGGGTTGACAGGCCCCTCTTCCCACCGTGCCTAGTTCCCTGACTCTGCCCAGCTGGCTCTTGCGCTCAGAGATGGACTTGGTGGATAGGGCCAGGGGCAGCTTCAGCAGCTCAACCTTACTCCTTAGGGAATCTATCTTGGAGGCCGGAGGACAGGGAGAGGGAGAAGAGCCCACCAGACAAAGACGGAATCAGGGAAACAATGGACTAGAAAAAGGAGGGGAGGGGAGGAAGAAGAGAAGATAGACTAGGCAGGAGGGGGGGGATGAAAAGATAGGATTATGAGTAGGATGGGGGTGGGGTGGGGGGTGGGGGGGGGGGGGGGGTTGAAGTGGACAGGCCCTGAAATAGAGGAGAGAAGGGGTAGAATTGGTGACAAAATCAAACTCCTATCCCTAATCTGGTGTTTAAATCCAACCCGATTTAATTTTACATTTACATTTTAGTCATTTAGCAGATGCTCTTCTCCAGAGCAATTTACAGTTAGTGCATTGATCTTAAGATAGCTAGGTGGGACAACCACATCTCTCAGTCATAGCAAGTACATTTTTCCTCAAAGTTGCTATCAGCAAAACCAATGCTAGTGGGGGTGGTTGTGGGATAATCTGTGGGATTATTTAACATACTCTTGGAAGAGGTAGCGTTTCAGATGTTTTCAGAAGATGGGCAGGGACTCTGCTGTTCTAGCTTCAGGGGGAAGCTGGTTCCACCATTGGGGTGCCAGGACAGAGAGGAGCTTTGACTGGGCTGAGTGGGAGCTGCCCTCCCGTAGGGGTGGGTGAGCCAAGAGACCAGAGGTGGCAGAATGGAGTACTGGGGTTTGGGGTGTAGTGTTTGAGCATAGCCTGAAAGTGTTTGTGGGTATTTGACCCTGACTGTCAATTCTGACTGCCAATTGAGCTAAAACGTGTTAGCTCTAGCTCTAGTGTTTGAGCATAGCCTGAAAGTGTTTGTGGGTATTTGACCCTGACTGTCTGTGCAACTGAAGATGACGTTAGCCAATTGAGCTAAAACGTGTTAGCTCTAGGGGTGAATACAAGCTTTTAGATCTCAGGTAAGGTTGGCCCTCAAGTAGTTCTACAGACCATATTGGATTACTGTGTTTTCACAAACTTGTTTGCCCTCTCCCTCTCTTTCCCCATCTCACATTCCCTCTTGGTCTCCCTTGGCCCCCTGGGTAACAGGGCCTCTCCGCTGCCATGGTGATGAAAAGAGGGTGTTCAGATGAAGGGGATTGGAGGTTGACAGTTTCCATGGAAAACGGACCGTACGCCACCCTCTCCTACCCTGAGAAAAAGACTGTCTTGTCACATGCTTAATTGATATGGGCACTATGTTAACTGTATTGGCTTACCATGTTAAATTGGACTGTTTGATTTGTCACATATGGGGCAATAGTCAGTCATGGCCATGCATGCAGGGCATTACGTTGAACAACTAACTCCCTTAAACTGCCATTCTATTCTCAACTGTATGTCTGTTTGCATGCACAAGTTTATTTAAGCATCGACTTGGGAAGTGCCCCACTGTTTATGCTATAAACTCATAGCCTTTGTACCCACCAATAAAAACCTAAGAGCCCTAGAGCATTTGCTGAACTTCAGCTCCCATCACATGCTGATACGAAACAATCTATAAATCAGTCAATGTGGATGTGCTGTGCAGCCTTGGGAGGGTGTGGTGCACATGGAGCAAAATGTATAGCCTACTCCTCCTACATTTCAAAAAATGTCTGCTACATAAGGCAGAGCAGAGAGAACCCACATGCTCATTGTGGCTTGCTTGGCTTGTTCATATTCCCATGCTCTGGACTTGATCTCCCAAAAACAGATCCCCCACACAGGCTGTCTACTTGATACTGGGGATATGATTATGATGAACATCTGATCCATCAAGGTGTGGTCTGCTGGAGAGACAGAATTCCCTTTTCTTATTCCACCCTATATGTCATGTAACCAGGTCAATGAACTGTGCGATAGTGGTGAGTCCTCACTCACGCCAACCTCACTTAGCCACATCATCATATCATAAAGACCTAGCCAGCAGGAAGCTCTGATTTCACCATTATTGAAACAAGACCCAGATGTCAAATATAAAGACCCAGTCCATCTAAAAAAAAAAAAACTGGAGGCCTCTTCAATGTTGTGATGCAAAAATACTAGCGAAATGCATAGCACTCAGAATTAAAAAAGTTTTCGCCAGGTATTGTTCATCCTGATCAGAGGTTTTTTACATGGACAATACATTGGAGATAATATGACAACTACTAGAAATAATAGAACAACATGAAACATAAGAAGCTAGGCCTAGTATTCATAGCAGATTTTGAAACAGCCTTTGATAAAGTAAGACTGGATTTTATATATATATATATATATATATATATATATTTCGGCGAGTCTCTTATTCAATGGGTAAAATAAATGTATTGCAATCCTAGGTGTAAAATAGTAAATAGTGACTACTTCTCAGAGAGTTTGGAACTGTCAAGAGGAGTTAAAGGGTGCCCACTGTCACCATATCTATTCGATATTGCCATCGAAATGCTAGCTATTAAAATCAGATCAAATAACAACAGAGGATTAGAAATCCAAGGCTTAAAAACAAAGGTGTCCATGTATGCCAATGAATATGAACTGGTTGGGCTGAGATTATTAAATATAAAAGCACTAAACGTCTCTAAAAGCTTCACTTATACAAAAGTTTTACTTTAATTCAAAATGGTTCTCAAGTAGATTACTAAGAAAGGCTCATTCCTTGTTTAAAAATTGCCTTTTTGCTTTTGTGTAGATTGCCATGTCTCATTTTCGATTAATTGAAAATGAAACCTTGTTCAAAGTATCGCTCTTTTTCAAACAAGCATTGCAGTGCTGGTTACAATTTCATCCCCAGAAAAGATAGAACAACTATTACAACAAATATTATAGTTGAACTCAAATGTGCTGAGTGATATAAATGATATTGTAAATTGGAATGGTAGAATTATGTCTTTCATGGAGCTATCGGAATTTTATGGGAAGGTCTGCTCAATCCAAGATTACAACCAATTGATTACAGCATTACCCCAAAAATGGAGGAGGCAGGTAGCAGCAGGAGGAGGTAGGGAACTGGTCTGTCTGCCCAATATAAAGGATCAAAACTGGCGGAGGAACAAAAATAGCATAAATAGGAAGGTATACCAGTTTAATTTGAGGACCAGGATGTTGACAGCTGTGCCATACAGATTGCAAAATAGCTGGGAAGAGATGTTTTATGTACCGATTTCATGGCACAGAGTGTATGAGTTGGTATATAAAACGACAAGATTCAAGACTTCGTGCTTTTCAGCTAAAATTATTGTACAGTATTCTTGCCACCAACAGAAAATTTAAAATTTGGGGCATACAATCATCGCAACTCTGTATATTTTGTTGTGAGGATAAAGAAACAATAGACCATTTGTTCTGGTCTCCGGTTCAGCGAAATGGCTAAAAAAGGAATGGCTAAAAAAGCATAACATTAATCTAAAATTGACCCTAGAAATAGCATTGTTGGGAGATTTGGAGAGACCTGGTCAGTTAAATACTTTTACTAAGAGTATTAGTAATTATCTTCAACTCGCAATCTGTGGATTCTATTCGATTAGATAGATTCAAATTGTATGTTAAACATCACATCATAGTTGAAAGATATATGGTGTGTAAAAATCCAAAGAGGGTGGCCAGCAGAGACAGGTGGGATGGGTTGAGGTGTCTGCTAGATGACTGAATGCAAGGTAAATGTTGCCGGTTTCACTGCAGGTAGATTATATATATATATATATATATATATATATATACACACACACACACACAGTACCAGTCAAAAGTTTGGACACACCTACTCAGTCAAGGGTTTTTCTTTATTTGTACTATTTTCTACATTGTAGAATAATAGTGAAGACATCAAAACTATTGAAATAATACATATGGAATCATTTAGTAACCAAACAAAAAGTGTTAAACAAATGAAAATATATTTTATATTTGAGATTCTTCAAAGTAACCACCCTTTGCCTTGATGACAGCTTTGCACACTCTTGGCATTATCTCAACCAGCTTCATGAGGTAGTCACCTGGATTCCATTTCAATTAACAGGTGTGCCTTGTTAAAAGTTCATTTGTGGAATTTCTTTCCTTCTTAATGCGTTTGAGCCAATCAGTTGTGTTGTGACAAGCTAGGGGGGGTATACAGAAGATAGCCCTATTTGGTAAAAGACCAAGTCCATATTATGGCAAGAACAGATCAAATAAGCAAAGAGAAAAAAACAGTCCATCATTACTTTAAGACATGAAGGTCAGTCAATACGGAACATTTCAAGAACTTTGAAAGTTTCTTTAAGTGCAGTCGCAAAAACCATCAAGCGCTATGATGAAACTGGCTCTCGTGAGGACCGCCACAGGAATGGAAGACCCAGAGTTACCTCTGCTGCAGAGGATGAGTTCATTAGAGTTACCAGCCTCAGAAATTGCAGCCCAAATAAATGCTTCACAGAGTTCAAGTAACAGACATCAACATCAACTGTTCAGAGGAGACTTTGTGAATCAGGCCTTCATGGTCGAATTGCTGCAAAGAAACCACTACTAAAGGACAACAATAAGAAGAGACTTGCTTGGGCCAAGAAACACGAGCAATGGACATTAGACCGTGGAAATTTGTCCTTTGGTCTGGAGTCCAAATGTGAGATTTTTGGTTCCAACCGCTGTGGCTTTGTGAGACGTGGTGTGGGTGAACGGATGATCTCTGCATGTGTATTTCCCACTGTAAAGCATAGAGGAGGAGGTGTTATGGTGTTGGGGTGCTTTGCTGGTGACAATGTCTGTGATTTATTTAGAATTCAAGGCACACTTAACCAGCATGGCTACCACAGCATTCTGCAGCGATACGCCATCCTATCTGGTTTGGGCTTAGTGGGACTATCATTTGTCTTTCAACAGGACAATGACCCAACACACCTCCAGGCTGTGTAAGGGCTATTTGACCAAGAAGGAGAGTGATGGAGTGCTGCATCAGATGACCTGGCCTCCACAATCACCCGACCTCAACCCAATTGAGATGGTTTGGGATGAGTCGGACGGCAGAGTGAAGGAAAAGCAGCCAACAAGTGCTCAGCATATGT